AACCTACCCATTTTGGTTAGTGAGTTATTCCTACAATTAAATCGGCTTGTCGAATGACATAACATTGGCTTGTCCTAAAAAAAGTTTTCGAAAATGTGTAGTTAAAACTGATGATTTAAATTGATTTATGGCCAATTGAAAGATAAGAGAAAATTTTAGGTAACAATAAAACTATGGATTGATTTTTCCTCCAAGCTTTATTCCCAATCCCCCCCCCCCCCCGGGATTGCCACGTGAAAACAAATAGGAATGAAGTCTCCATTTCAGTTTTTTATTCCCATTTGCTTTCGGTGGCAATCCCCGTGGGGGCGACTTAGAATAAAGGCACCTAGGGTGGCAATAAAATAAAATAGCTCTGATTCTCTGCTGAATAGCTGTTGTATTGTTCACTGGTAGTTCCGTTCGCTTCACTCAACTGTCGGATACAAAATGTGTCACTGTCACAATGTTAGAGTCTTTTATAATGAATTTTCATCATACACTAACACATTCAGTACTATAATTAAACCTAGATTTCACACATTAAGAAATTAGTCATTACAATACTCTTTATAAAACAACCTATTAGTCAAGTTGTATTCATTATCCTTTCGATTTAATAAATAATATTGAACTGAACAATTTTAACAAATATAATCATAACAAAATTAAAACATTAAATAAATATCTGAACCGAATATGTATAACAAACTAAACACTTACCTAATATTCATGATAATATTATTTTAAAGAAAAACCTTCAAACCATGTTGCATTCTTATCTCATTTTCACAAAAAGTGAACATAAAAGACATTAAGCTTTACAAAATATGTATATCACAATATAACTAATTTTATCCCTTATTCCAAAACGCGGACTAAAGATGGTAGGTATTGGTTTAAACCTAACGTTGTCTCTTGTCTGTCTTCTTTTTAGCAAACAAAAGTAACAGCATCAGTTTTAATCCTGGTTCAAGTTTAGTCTACGTTTAGTAATAAGGCGGTTTACGTTTATAGAAACTTGCATTAAAGTTTCTAACAATTGTAACTTATCATAGTCTTCTCAGTTAATGTCTATAGGTGATGGTTGGTGATATCTTAAAACACCTGCTTGTATGCTTTCAAAGGCAATAGAATACAAAAAACCGGTCAAGTGCTAGTGGGACTCACGCACGAAGGGTTTCTTACTATTATTTATACAACATTAGACACATATAATATTGAAAAAAAAAACGAGCAAGCCTTACAGTAGTCGCGTATGATGTGAAACATTTGAAACCTCACCTTATATTAGTAAAGAAAGAAATAAAACCTTCTACAAAAGGAATAAGCCATTTGAACATTATGTTCTAAAATCAAATCATATAGCGCGCGCTTTCCCGACTTCCTGTTACACACTTCCGTCCCATTTCACGAAATCACTCCCACAAATTGTTACACATCAAAAAGACACCATATCATAATATCGAGCAAAAAACTGTCTGTTATATGCGAACATGTATTGATGTAACTGCTGTAAGGCTCGCTCGTTTTTTTTTATTTTAATCAACCACCTTCAAAAAGGATTAGGTTTCTTAATGCGACTGTATGTTTTTTTATTAACATTTGGAGTTGGTGCAAAAAAGTATCCTACCCACCAAGTAACTTATTAATTGGAACAGATTAATTAAGGGTATCATTTAAGCTATCACCAATTTAATTAGTTTTGTGTTTCTTAAATAATAGGGTTTGTCCTCAAAATAGTAGATCTGTCACCAAAATGTAGTCACCAAACAATGCAAAATCAGTTCCACAATAAATCACCTAAAATCCTGAGATATAAGGTCTAGTACCAAATAAATGTTTTTGTATATATTATAATAGGTGTGTCCTAATAAGTATTTAAGCAAACTAATTTAAAGAGATCACCAATAAATCATATTATGTTACTAGAAAATTGCATTAAGTTCAAATAAAAAATTAGGGTTGTCATCATCGTTTCAACCAAAAGATTCTGCTACTTAACTAGACTCCCAAATTTATTACATCTAAAGTACTTTTTTCTCCCTTCCTCTACATCATGCGTTCGCAGAAAAGACCAAATTTTTTCAGTCTTTATATACTCCTCAGCACTGTGTTTGTCTTCAAATTTTTTAACGAAAATCCAATCCTTGCTTTGCGACCGTTTCTTCTTTGGTATTGTGCCTTCATCAGTGTCAGTACCTTCCTCATTTTCCTCATCAGACTCCAATATCGGCACTTTCTCCACGAATGATTGCTCGACAAACGACGATAAACTTTTTGAATGACTTGCATTACCTTCACCACTACTTGATGCCATAATCAAAAATAAACATTTAAGAAATTAACTAAAACAACAAATTATCCACAACGATAATAAAATGCACCTACAACAATGAACGTGAAATCGCGAATGAAGTAAACTTGCATCTCTCTCGCACGCCGCCCGCGTCGCGCATCGTGTGATCGAACCTACTACCCATCGTTGAGGCCGGATTGGTCAATTTTTAAAGCGCGCCAATTTGTCTCCGCCCCTTTGATCATTTTTTCATTAAAATTATAAATTGATGTATTAAATTGGTAACGAATACTATTAATTTAATATCTGAACGAAATAAAATGTTACTACTGTATTGGTGACAAAATATCAAATAAAAAGGAGTCGCAGTCAGGGATCGATAATCGATTTATTTGGTGACAGATCTACCATTCTGAGCACAGAGCTATTATTTAAGTAACAAAACTGTTATTATAAGAACGAAGTTTATATTCATGTAATGCAATATAATTTTATTGGTTATCGATCTCTTATTTTACACATATATTAACATTAATTTGATAATTCATACCTGGGAACAATTTTTGTTTATCTGAGAACGAAAATATTTCGTGGCGATAGATCTATTTATTAGGTGATACAACTTGATGACAAATATAAATTTTGGTGATAGAAAATATAGTTCCCATTAATTAATAATCTGTCCAATCAGTTCAGAGCGGATTGGGCCCAGTGCTCTTCTCTATTTATCGCAATATCTCCCTATTCCATCAAAAAAATATTCTAACCACCAAACCACACTGTGGCCACGTGAAGGCCCGATCCCCCGATTTCAACAAACTATTAAACAAAACTTTAAACCAAGTCCACAACCATCGTCGTCTGCCTGCTAGCCTGCCTGGCTAGATTGTGACAGAAAAATCCTATTATTTTTTCGCCTATCCGTTATCCGCTATACCGTCCGAAAAGAAACTTCGTTTCAATAATTATATTAATAAATGTACAGCATCACAGCCAATAAATCTAAGTCGGTTTTAAGTTTTAAGGAAAAGATTATCTATTGCATATATAGCGTAATCAAATGGCTAACTTTAGATTGGTAAAGATAAGTATAGTGCGATTCAAATAAGAATAGGAAAGCCAATGACCTCTATCTGTCAAATGTCGCTTGACAAGTACGGTTTGCAAAATAATCTTGGATGCCTTTTTTAGCACACAGCTAATTCAGGAATAAAAACCAAACATTTGTAAACCAACTTTAACATATATTGATAATTAATATTGGTTGCTATTTTTTTTTTCATTTATCGAGCTTTGGCTATGAATGGTTGATAACTAAATCATCCACCAAATGTCATTTAAGTTGCGTTCAGAAACTCGATTTAAAACTTTCGATTACTTAAAGGATGCATGTTCGTATGTAACCTAGTAATAGTGCATGATTATTCATAACTACTCCGGCGGTAATGCAGAGATGAGCGGAATTAAAGAGCTAGAGTCTCATTAATGTTTTTTCTCACACAGTTATAATAAATAAATATTATTAAAAATCAGTTTTTCTCAATCATAGTAAATAAAATTTATTAAAAAATCTGATGATTTTTCTCACATAATCTTAATAAGTTTTGTTAAATAAAAACTTTTTTTTGCTCACACTACTTGGTTTGAATTGACAGCTATGACGTCACAATATGGGGCCCAGTCGGTCCTATTCTTAGTTGAATCGCATTATACGCCAGTCGTGTTGTAAGTAACATTTCGCAAAATTATATAATATCCGCTAAGAGTAAAGGCGAGGTTATACAGTGCGAGCTGCTTATATGACAGTAGACAGATATTGTATCCCTGCCCCCCTAGCATGAGTACTGCGATATGATATATAACGCATTTTTCAAATTACTATGGAGTTTGACAGTTAGGCGTGATAGAAAACGTGATATAATGTAAATTGTATTGCTCATGCTCCGGGGCAGGGGTATGTCTTATACCTGTAGATAATACAATTCGGGTTAAAAAAACGCTCTGTCTGGAGGTGAGGTGAGGATTCAAATTTTGTTACTTTCAGCTATACATAACCTAAATTTTACGTCTTTTTAATGGCTCCCATCTTATATTTACACATAAGCAAGTTTCTATGACTAAGTTCATAAATATCTACAATTAATCAACAGGCATTTACATCAAAATATGTCATTATTAAATAATACTTGCATGGCAGTATCTCGACTCTTCTTACCCGGTCACACAAGTAGACAGCAGACGGGATTCGAACGCGCACCCTGCGCAAGCCGCCTAAAAAGCCTGAGGAATACTAGAGAAGATTCTACACGGCCATCAGGGCCACGGTAACATAATTAGTCAGTGATCCGCCCGGATTGTGAGTGCGGGTTCGAGTCCCGTCTGCTGCCTGGTCCGCGTGAAATATTTTTTAGTGAACTTTTCTTTAGATTTAAACATTTAGCAGTTATATGCTTAAAAATGTTGTAACACGGATGCGAGTTACTAACCGACTCGCACATGAATGTAACATTTATAGTGCGGGCACACAATGCCAGTAACTGGTCTACAGTAACTGAATGCATTACTGTACTTAGTACGAGTTTTAAGATTACGAAAACTATGAGTTTTCTTGAGCTCGCAATCGTACTAAGGGTACTGATTTTATTATTTTCGTTTCAATACAAATACACAGTGTTTAAATACGATCATTAAATCATTTGGTAAAAAGTAACCAAATATACTTAAAATTTAAGACGTCTTAAATTTTAAGTATATTTGGTTACTTTTCACCGAAACGGACATAGAAACATAATTTACAATTACGAAAACTATGATAGTTTTCGTGAGTTCAAACTCGTACTAAGGGTATGTACTATTCCCCAAAGGTATTAGAAAACCATACTAATACTGGTTGGCGACAGTTAATTTTTTCTGTTTACACTTTTGTATGATCCACCCGAGCAGCCATCCGGCAGCGAAAATTAGGAACAGTCCACTAAGCACATAGTACTGCGAAGCGATGGACATTCTCAACGACTGGATGAGTATCAGAGTGAGCAACGATTGTAGCCCGGTGCCGATCAGTGTATTGATGCCGAATATCAGACCGAAGCAACTTTCGTCTGTTAGCTGAGCGGCGATTTTTGCACTGAAAAAAGTTTTTTTATAGAATAACTTGAGCTGTCATAAAATTATGTACTTATTACTTACTAGATATGAGGCGTCACGCTTCGTGGAAGGTTTTTTTTTTTAATTTTTATAAAAAAAAATTGTTGCAAAAACCACATTAGGGAGATGAGAAAAGTCATTGTAGGTTTGGTGGTCAACTCAGAACGAGAGCTAAAAGCATAGAAGTAGTGATATGACGTATGCGAGCGTACATCCCCATCCCATTAAGGGATATTGTCAATAGGAGTCCCATAAACATTAAATTAATTAAAATAAAGTTAAATTTCTTTTTTGTTTTGTTATTGTAGAGCAACATGGATCTTCAGCTGTTCACGAATGTAACAGCGTTTAGGTAATTCACAACAAAATGTGTATAATAAATAGATATCCCAAATAAATATTACTGTGGGATAATATTAGCTGGATCTTTGTGTTATTATAATAGGTCTCATTTTGGCATGGTTCTCTAAACTTAATTCTAAATTTAAAATCAGTCTCTCCTTTTCATTCTATATGTATAGAGAATGACAAGGACACACTAATGCGATATTCAAGTTTTGTTTAAAGAATCATGCCAGAATCGAGCCCAGTTTCAGAAAATGGTTTCATATTTGTGTGTCTAAAACACTGCTTTCTATGTGTTAAAGTCAACGACATTAAATAGCCTAGATATAACATCACGAACAAAATCGTGGCCGAAACCTGTCCAACAGGTACATTAGAGCTCCGAAGATGATCGCGTAGTCAAAAACAATATAAGGCATTATTTAAATATTTAGTCACCTTTAATGCACACTGAATAAGGTCTTAATTAAAAATAATTATATAAATAATTATAAATATCTAAATGCAAGCTCGTAAAATTTTACGACTTATTGCTATATGCGGAAGAATACCTTTCTTTGAGTCTACACGCAATTCTGAATGCGCTGTTAGCAAAATAACAGGTATGGACCGATAGAGACGTCTATATTACCGACCATGCATTTGAATATCACAAATATTTTCTATTACATCAGTTTATAGTATGTGTAGTATGTAAAATTTGCTTCAAATGCATTTAATTAATAAACATTGATCAGGTACCTGGCGAAAAACGACACTTTACGTAGTATAAGTTTTTTTTTTCGCATTTTTTTCACGGACCTCTGCAGCGTATTAACTTTTCAACGGTCCGCGCGTGACTGTGAACCAAGCAGTGCTCGAGTGGTGATCAAGCACTTCTTGATAGGGACACATTTTGAACGCACGTGGTGTATCCAGGTTATTTAATATCGTTGGTTAAAGTATAAAAAATAAGGTAATGGGTAAAATAGTATTTGTGTGCTTTAAAACACTAACCTTGCCAAGGTGATGTTGTAATGGAACAGCATGCCCATGACTACGTAGCCCGCATACGACACGTATACGTTGGTCGTGTATGTGCCCAAGAATACGGCGACGCCTTGCAACGCGGCCACGGGCGCCGGGTTCGATGCCCGCGTGAATACGGATGCTATGAACGCGCCCGCCGCGCCTAGTAGAGTCTGAGTTGCTTCTACTGCGCCGTTGTACGCTACCTGCGATAGAATCCCATTTTTAAGTAGGTATTGAAGCAATTGTAAGTAAAAAAAAGAATGTTGTTTAGATGTTTGTCTGCACCCATACAAAACCTCTAATAAATATTCTGAAAATGTTAGTTCATTGCAAACATTAAAACATCCAATGTCATAAAAAAAAAACATATTCTAACTAGTGGCCTGCCCTCGCTTCGCTTCGGTGTAGAGCTGTAGTGTAGGTAGACTATAGGTTTTGTTCTCAGGCTTGTATTATGCACAATGAATTTCTTTATATAATTATTTTTCTCACCTTTTAAACCTTCCCTAGACCTCCACGAACATTTCAAGACCAAGATGAGATAAATCCGTTTAGCCGTTCTCAAGTTTTAGCGAGACTAACGAACAGCAATTGATTTTTATATATATAAGATAGATAAATAAAATCATAATTCTGACGACGCACCCTGAAAAGGATGCGAAAAGTCATAAATAAATAAATCAGTGCATCTATACCATTGAATCTTGTTTTATTGAATGAGTGATGTGAACAAATATTTTTTTTAAATACACTCCTTCGCTATTTAAAGTACTCATCAGACTGCCACAATTTTCCCTGCTCGATGCGTGGTATTATGAATTTCAAAAAGAGAACATTGTCATTACGCCCGTTTCACTAACACAGTGCCGAAACTTTTGATGAATTAAAAGTTCTTAGAACACCCCATGGTTTCAGAGTCTTTTTATAGAGGATTCATATTATGGATGTAGATAGTCTTGTATGCAACTGTTCATAATTAAGTATAAAAACACTCATGTGATACTATTATCAAAATTATTTATACTGTTATAAACCCACATAAGAGTTTTAATACCACTCATTATACAACAGTTACATAAATAACTATTAGGCACCGGGTTCAGCGCCCGCATGAATACGGGCTCTATGAACGCGTCCAGTAGGGTCTGAGTCGCTTCTACGGCGCTTTACCTTTTAACCAGAATTAAAGGACACTGGAGAAAAATGTATGGGCGCTGCACCCACGTCCAACACGGCTTAAACTACATTTGTTTGAAACTTTTGAAAGGTATTATAGTCATGATCATCTGTGCCAAAGCGCATCAAATTCCATCCCGGAGGTCTTTAGTTATTTTAAGTTAAATAGGTACAAGTACTATAACGAACGAACATTAATGAAAAAAGGGATATAACTAAGTTAGTAAGACCCTACATAGGGGGCTCAGGTATTATAGGAGTACTTCACAAGGTGCAATGGTAGCCCCTTATGGTATTCTGCCGCGCTAGAATAAATCCGAAAATCGCCGCATGGGTTGGGGTTTTTTAAACATTCTGTTCGTTATAGTAAATTGTCTTCTATGTAAAACGGAGCGACAACAAATCACACAAACTTGTCCACTCTTCGGACAAAACATAATTCCAGTTCATCCATACTAATTGAAAAAACCGTAAATGGTGTTCCAATGTCCAAAGTGTGTTAGATATCATAATAAAAAAGGCTAGTTTTTCGATTCATACTAATTACATTGTTGGCGGAGCTCGGTGTGTTTTGCCCATTGTCCTTTATAGTTTCTGGTACCAACACTATTAAAAATTAAGAAAAAAAACTAAAATGTTGTTTCCATGTAAAAATTGTACAGTTTGAATTTATCCTATTAATAGCAGCATTTTACCTGAAATAAAATGCATATTAAAATACTTACCTCACTGAAAGCTTTATATTGAGATAGCACTTCCGTTTCCCGTCGAATTACCATCAGTTTCCGTACTTTTATTCACCTTGTATCCGGTCCAGTGGCGACACCTGGCAGAAGCGCGGCCATTTTTGTTTTCCTAAGTTTTGACAGCGCCATATTAACTCATTGGCTCAATTATTTCACCAGGCAGAATTTAAAGTGAAAGCTTTCAGTGAGGTAAGTATTTTAATATGCATTTTATTTCAGGTAAAATGCTGCTATTAAACTACTTGACCGTCACTGAAAGCTTTATATTGAGACCTGTTTGTTATCGCCTGGTGATCGCCACTTACATAGATATATACGCCAATGTGACAATTTATGATAAATTTAAATATTAACATTTATCAGATTATATGAAACTGTATAAAGAAACGACTAAGCTTAAAAATTAATCAAATAATATTATTTGAATCACGCCTTTAATTTCTTCAAGCTTACGAAGCTGCTTTAACATATATATTAGCTGATCGCTATATTCCTTTGCTTAAAACTATGACCGGACGCTTCCTTGTGTAGCATTCATTTGTATCTTTGTATATCACAAATAAGGCGTACGAACGCGAGAAAAAGATGTAAAGTTGTTCGATACCGAGTCTTACATTTTACAAGACTGTACTTTTTACTTAAGTACCAAAAATCAGGGTCCCACTTACGATTACCATTATTCGGTACAAGTCACCAATCGGATTGTCTTTAACTACTTTCACCTGTTTTGAACCAAAACAAGGCTAAACTAATCTTCGTCGGTACAAATACAATGATTCGGGATAATTTGAAATAGGAACAAGTCATGTGTACCACATGCTGAACCAAATAATACGCAGCATAATTACTGTATGACGTTCAGAACAACATATATGACGAAGTATTTGAAACAGATCATTATGATGTAACGAGTATATTATTGAAGAAAAGGAAATAAGTTAACTTATAGACACAGAATAGTAGGTTACGGACTGATTCTTTAAAAACAATCGACTTCAATAAATGTGTTTGCCAAGACAGTTGAGCTTAGGTAATTAGACTTATCATCCATTGGTATATCATGTAAAAACTACTGACTTATTTAAAATAATGGTACTTATTTTAAGATAAGTCACGAGTTAAAAGTAAGTCTCTCAAAAATCGTGTGAGCTCAGAGCCGAGTCCACAACTTGCGGGATTATTCCGATAAACATTCTTGTTCCTAGACCAATGCAACCACGCAAGCCAGCGTTTCCGAGCCATCTCATAGCTGTTTAAGACAGAGCTGTCGCTCTTTGTAGAATATGTTGAAAAGCGTAGTGCTAGCATATCGTGCCGTGTTCTTCAACTATACTTCCCAAGCTTTCATATTAGATTGGCGGGAAGTGATTGCAAGGTCGATTGCAGTGAATTCATAATTATTGTTAGAAGTAGGGAGTGGTTGATACAACCCCACGGAATGACACAAATGTTGAAACCGATCAACCTCTGAAGTTTACGTTTGTACAACGAAATTCTCTGGTATAGTTTTTATATTGTTGCTGGGTTGCCGTGATAAATTATGCTATTACGAAGTTCAGACCAGATTTTATGAAATTCATTTGATATCCTGGAATCTATAATTGATTGTAATTTTTCCTTTTGTTTTTCAGTTCTTAGATCTGAGTCATTTATATGTATTACTTAATACTAAATAAAGATTTAGTTATTTATAAGATTTACACAGCTTACATGAGGTGTGTATGTACTATGCGTAGGGTTTGAAGTATATTTATTCCAGACAGTCGTGGTAAGGTTAGAAAGCGTAAGTTTAATATTAAGAACAGTTTTCAGTAATTTTTACTAAAATAACATAAAGGGGATAATTGCATACAATGATCTTCAAAACCTTTCAAGAATTTGGTAGATCGTGCAATCTTTCTTCAGTAACTAGCACCACTTATATATTCAAAATGATCATGTTGGCCACCTCAGACACCACATACACGACATTTCTAATATTGCAAGTTTCTCTCATTACGCGATCAAAAGAGTGAGCAACCCATTTGGTTTACTTTTGTTATTTTCAAGAGAAAATATGTTATCTTCTATTTTTTCTGCACTTGAGATTGGAGTTTGATATATATTGGATTTAGATAAACCAGCTTTTGAATGGCATGCGATACCATTAAATTTATTTAAGAATTATTTATGGAACTCCCAATTTATCAACTTACCTGCACTAAATTTTTTCAAACATTAATTGTTTCGATATTCCTTTTTCCTTTGAAATGTATTATATATTACGGTAGAACAACCGTAGTGATCGAGTCAACACTTCACACCAATTAGCCTAGCCTTATAATGGGCATTGAAAGGCTTGTGTTATGGGCTAACGCTTAGAAATGCATAATGATGACGCATAGATTAGAATTTATTGGATTAGATTTTGAATTCATATTTGTTAACAACCAAAACTTAGGCACAGATGCTCGTTTTTATCAAACAATGATTTGCCCCACCAGGGTGAACCCAAGACCTCGGAGTATGCGACACCTTAAAAACCACGTACATTGCACTTCCCAACTGGGTACGTCAACATTCGATGTTCGATCTTTATAGTCTATTAAGAGGGTAGTTTATAGCCGATACTTATGTGTGTACGCAAGCCATGAGCGGGTATGTTGCGTTGCGTTGATGTATGGATTTCCACGCGATGGAAGTAATGCATTATGTCAAGCGACATTTATTATATTTACAATTTACTTATTTATAATGTTTCGAATCGTTTACACTTTTACAGACCCCATGGTCACAAAAATAAATTATGAATCACGAATAGACTACATGTTAAATTATGCATAATTTGCTCCACTCGAGTGTCGTATGTTACCGGTGCTTACATAATAGTACGAACTCCATAAGCTAACATGTTCTAAGGAGAACATATATTGATATTCACGTAATGGAAATAATATATTGTGTGATATGACCCCACAAGGGCGATTATAAGATTGATGAGGATATTTCTCTATCAACGATGTTTTGTTACTGATACTTGTATGTGTAGGCAAGCCATGGAAGGCAAGTCCTTATTCATAATGAGTTCCATACGGAGGAAGCAAATTATACATAATATGCCCCCGCGAGGGGCGGTCATCAGAGTTTTGGTAATATGCACGCCGCGAAGGTGGTTTGCTACCGGTACTCGTATATGTAAGCAAGGCATTAGAGGTATTTCATAAGGGTTCACGTAGTGGAAACAAATTGTATATAATATGCACCCCGCGAGGGTGATTTGCTACCGGTACTCGTATATGTAGGCAAGGCATTAGAGGCATTTCATAAGGTTCCACGTAGTGGAAACTAATTGTACATAATATTAACCCCGCGAGGGTGATTTGCCACCGGTACTCGTATATGTAGACAAGGCATTAGAGGCATTTAATAAGATTCCACGTAGTGGAAACAAATTATATATAATATGCACCCCGCGAGGGTGATTTGCCACCGGTACTCATATGTGTAGGTACGCCATGGGAGGGCATGTCCTGACACGCCTTGGGCTTCATGAGATGAAGCTTATGAATATCACTTGCCTCTGCGCGAGTTGCTCATTAGGTTGATGAAATGTCAATCACTTAAATCCATGACAAATACTTTCTTAATACGATAAAAACAACCTCATAGATGGTATCTTATTAAGTGGTGCTTCATCACAGAGATAACTAACTTCTTGGAGTGCTTTAGTTTTTACTTTTTAGCTTTGTGCTAGCTGTAAAAGACCTAAGAAACAATTCTGTTATCTTATCACTTTCGTTATTAAAATTAACTGAGCAGGTGCCTTCCCGCAATGATTCATTTTTATTTTAAAAATATGCAATTGCTGAAAGAAAATTAATGTCAGGAACGTGATATATCATAAATTGTCATAATACTTCTTTACCTCGTTGTTTGTTTCCAGGTTGATAAAGCCTGGACTATGATTATAATTTTTAATTTACATCAGCATATCATTTAAAATAAACGTTGAATGTCTTTCGAACAGAGCGTTCCTTTATCCTAGTTTAGTCACACGACTCATATGAGAATTTTTATTACGTGAATTGGTCAGTAAAAATGTTAGAACTTTTTATTCATAAGCCTTTAGATATTGATAGCTGGTGGCCATGTTCAGAAAACGGCATATCGACATTAGAAATACCTTATTAAGATTGTACATAGTTTACTTACCCCACGAACAATCTTTTAATAAAAGGGCTGGAATATCAAGCTCGCTTATTTTTCTTGAGGCAGCGATGCCGCTTTCGTTATACCAGATGACGACAAATTCAACCAATTATTACTGCAGCTGTTCGAAGAACAATAATGACTAGATCCACACATCTTGCTGTTTTTGCCAATAATGCCAGTCAGTCGGCGGCTGAAACGTCAATATTGACCGATATTCCTTCACTCTAAACTGTAAAACAATTTAATTAAGTATTTTGTAATACATTTACCAATTTACTTTCACATTTACTTATACGGAAACATTAATTGAGTACCAAGAGAAAACACTCTTAAAATAGTTTTATGATAAACGACCAAGACAGACGTAAAGTATTGCAAAATTTACTTTAATGTAGGTACTTTAATTTTTTTTTAAACAAAACGCACCTTGAATTGCCGTTAAGTTTTACTCACGGCTTATTATTACTTTTTCAAACAAGCGTATTGCACAATTTAACATACTTGTTTTAAATATCCTTATCACAAGGGCTGCAAAAACTATCAAAAATAATTATAGTTTTACTTACGGTTCCTTCACTTTTAATACGTAAAGTACCTATTTGGAATAACACGAACGGCAAAAACCGTTAAATAAAATAGTTTTACTTACAGTTTTATCACTTAATAATAATAAAACCTTTAAAATCGCACAACGATCGCTCAGATTGAGCACGTGTTGCTTCGACGGGAGTCAGAACGCCAATGAGTTAATATGGCGCTGTCAAAACTTAGGAAAACAAAAATGGCCGCGCTTCTGCCAGGTGTCCCCACTGGACCGGATACAAGGTGAATAAAAGTACGGAAACTGATGGTAATTCGACGGGAAACGGAAGTGCTATCTCAATATAAAGCTTTCAGTGACGGTCAAGTAGTTTAATATTATACATGTGAATCTACCTAAATCTGTTTGTATGTTTGTTACTTAACCAGGGAAAAATCACTGAATGGATGTTCACTCTTCTTCTTAATTCAGCACGGGCTGTTTTTTCTTATTATGAGCATGTCACAAAAATCAGCTGTAGCTAGCTTCAGTCAATCATACCTATTATTTTAAACTAACCATTATTTTAGAGAGCGGAACGTAACCATTCAATTATCCGGTCTAATAAGCTATTTGACAGTATAAAAAATAAAGCAACAATCATTGGCATGTGTATATACATGAATATTGGGAGCGATTTCAAGAAGAAACACAAGTATTTTTTGATGTCACGTGACCGAAAACGTCTGGAATTGGCAGAGCCTAAAGTAATGCCCTTGTTTGTTTGTAAACAAACATGCTGTTCACATGACAAAACTTTGTACTGTAATGAAAGCCGTGTATACCTGCCTGAAAAATGTTATATTTGCCAAAGAAATGTTTCCGCTGCATATTTGAAATCATTTTTTTTTTCTAGCGTAAAATCGTTTTGTAGGTTTACAACCATTTGTGAGTTCTTTTTGTATGCATTTAATTACCTTTATCATCAGTATATAATCATGCAAGAGATTATAATCCAAACATTAGTAGGTATTATAAAAAGATTGTTTATTCAGATTAATTCACTTGTTGATAAGAAGTTAAATTACCTTAATTCTCTTCTTTGGTAGACGGAAAATTTTACTAAAAACATAACGAAACAACTTATCCCATCAACGCGCGCTGTAGGTAATATACAGGGTTAATAAAAACACCAACAGCATCTTAGGGGGTGATTCTAACCATCAACAGGAACAACTTTTATTATGGGACCAACACTGAAATCGCGAAAAAACAAACTGCTGTTTCATACAAAAGTGCATCAGCTAACGACCGAAATATATAAAAGAGGTTGTTGGCATTTTAAAATTAACCCTGTATATGGATGGATATAATTTGCAATTGACATAGCTTTTATTACTTAGCGATAAGAGCGATATTCGTGTATAAAATGTCAAAGAGTTGGAAATGCGTGGTCTACACTCCGTGACGGTGTCGTGAGGTCCCGGGTTCGAATTCCGGTGGGGCACATGTAGTATGGTGAAACAACCATTTGTATGTATGTAATAGATATTTATATATTTCGAAATGAAAAAATACTTATATATATATGTATTAGGATATGTAATCTATCCGCTACCCTAGTATCCCATAACACAAGCCTTTCAGTGCTTACTTTGGGGCTAGGCTAATTGGTGTGTGTTGGAAATATTTATTTATTTATACTCACTGGATTATTACTCTCCTGCTGTATCTGTTTCCACAGTAGCTGGACGTAAGTCTGAACTTGCACGAACAGTGCCAAAGCTATCGCATACAGCGCAGACCAAGCGAGCACTTTCGGTCGTGTGTAAGCCAGTCGCGCATGTTGAGTGATCAACGTTGATGCTTCTATCACGTTTTCCCGGAATGTTCGCTAAAACATTAGTTTTTAATGTTACTGACGATTCTTAAGTGGGTAGAATAATTCTTAGATTCTATCAATCAATGAGCGGGGGCGTCTAACTAGTCGATTGCGACTATTTGTTCCAGTCTATCGTGGCTGGAGGAAATTATATAGTAGGTACTATTAAAATACACAGGCCCACAAAAAAAGTACTCTGCGCGTAAGACCAGACTACCCGAACTTTATGTTTTCGGGGTCGCTGAGTCCAAACATGGTGCCAGAATAGCGAAGTTGGTTCACGTTAGTAGTAGAGATCAGATGTTGTTTAAAAATATCTGCTACCTCTGAACTAGTGTTGCTCTCAAAATATTCATGAATGATGCCGGAGATAGGACAAAATTGAAAAAAAAAAATATTCAGGCCAAGTATTTTACCTTATGTTCCGGTGAGGTTGAATGTTGTTTTTTGAGCGCATGAATGTTGGGTTGCAAAGTGTTTCCGCTGGAACTCCGCCGATGGAAGTAGATGCCGAACTGAACTGGCGGCAGCCAAAACGCCCAGAACGTCGCCAAAATCTGCGCTGGAAGAAAAACAGTAACAATAAGGGAGTAAATGAGTAACAAATGACTTCTTCTAAATGCATTTAAATCCTTCTGTGTCGTCTTCTTGCTACTAATTTCATTGTACAACCACATATTATAATATTTTATTGCAAAGTATATTAAATGCGGAAACGAACCGCATTTTGTAAATAATCCCCAAAGAGATTTCTTCTCTAATCTATTCTGTATCGTCTATTAAAAAAACGGACATGTGCTGTTCACATGCGATAGGTTTCACAACTACAAAAATATGAACACTAAGTACTTCATATCTACGTCTTATGAAAAGTGTTTGATTGAATAAGTCAGAAGACTGTGAGATATCTTCAACATATTGTTTCAATTGACAAAACATCGACAGCAGGCAAAAAGAATTAAAACCCTTTAACCAGTCTTTCAGAAACATACACAAAAAAAACGAAGTTCGTCAGTTTATTCTATAGATAACGGGTTGCATACAAAATAAAAGCACCTGCATAAAAACCATGCATTGAAAAACAAGTTAAAAGAAACTATTAAATTTTAGTTTTTTTTTTATTTTCAAATACATAAAATAAAAACTCCTACCCAAACATTGTTGTAACGACAGGCAACTACGGAAGGCTGTTCGCACTTGGCCAGTTTTTTATAATGTCTGTCTGCTCCCTTGGCGACGCCTTTGATATTAGTCTCAGGTCCTTGCGCCCTAGGCTCAAGCCTTATTAGCCTGGCGGTAAATCAAGCCCTGTCGTTATGTTAAAAAATTATCTAACTATATCATATAAGCTGTAAAAACGATACCTACTTAATTGAAAGAGATGATACACGCTTTTTAATCTATTTATGTTTTTGTGAGTACCCAAAATCTGTCACGTTCGGTAAGTACATGCGGCGCTTTCTTTAATCAAGGTCTGTGTATTATTGTTTTTTTGCCTAATGTGCCTTTCTTCTGAGGCCCCGCTGCCAGTCCATATGGATTTAAGTCTAGTATATAGTGCGACCAAGATCTTGTTGCACAGGGCGCTGTTGGTGAACAAGTGGTAAAATTAATAATACTAAGTATGTTAAATCTACTCACTAAAAGGAACGTTATAATTTATAACTCGGAAAAATGTAATAAGAAATTTAAAAGGCTTATTATATTTTTATTTTTTATATCAGCAGTTAAATCTGCTAGATGTTTAAATGTAAAGAAAATTTGACTAGAAAAATGTCCTGTCAGCTGCTTCAACTGCGTGGAATTTTTACAAGTAAAATTTTCTTTAGATATAAATTATTTATACTTTTTTATTATTTCACCCATGGCCACCAGAAGATCTTGGTCACACTGTAGTTTAATGTCTTTGACAATACCTGACAGTGTGATGTAGTTGAGGTCTCTGTAGTTCATGAGACCGAGGTGAGTAAGTAGCTGAGCGGTCACGCCGGACAGGAAGCGGCCAGTGAGCGCGGCTATACGGGTATACGACGACACGCGCGGGTACTTGGACGAGTCCACCTGTCGTAATTTAAGCTTTAAAGACGCTATATAAAGTATCCTGGATACTTAATTGCAGATGGACTTGAAGTATTAGTTTTAGTGTCTTATTATTATGGCCGGCTGCCGCGCGGTCACCGCCTGGTGGCCCCGCCACTGCTAACACGATTAATTTGCAGTTGATCTTGTTCTTTCTTAAAATTCACACGTATTCGTTATGGGCTATTTGACTAAGAAGAAAAAAATTATGATTGCATATTACTTGTACAGAGAAAGCAAAAAAGAAAAAGAAAGAAATGAAGAAGAATTTGGTTTCATCCTATTGTAGCACGGCAAGAAGAGTTTGGTGAATTTCAAATGCTATACAACCTACTGCGAGAATATGAAAAAAAAATCGCATCATTTGATTCACATCTGTTGAGAAGTATGAACGCCTACGCTAATCTCTATGATGGTGTTACTCTTTTTGCTCATCTTTTTTGTGCACTGTCATCCGTTGTGTAAATTAATTATATAAAATATATAGTCTTATTCTTTAAATTGTCCTTGCTTTCATTTCATCAGGTTATGGGCCGTCCCAAGCCTGCCGTAAAAAGTTATTTTTGTATTTTGGTCAGTAATTACAAGTAGTAGTCGCAAGTATAACTATACTCACTTAGTTACCGGGCTCGCGAGTGTGTTTTATTTTTCAGCTAAATATTATATTGAAGTAAAAAAATACGAATTGAATAGAAATATGTCTGGAAATAATTCATTGATGTCAATTCAGAAATTAACGGGTCGTGATAATTGGGCAACTTGGAGTTTTGCGGTCAAGGCCTACCTACAACACGAAGATTTATATAGCTATGTGTTAAAAGAACCAAATCCTACTGATCCTGACTCTGTCAGACAAGACATCAAAGCTAAGTCCAAGTTAATTCTTTTAATTGACCCGATTTTATATGTACACATACAAGAAGCCCAAAATGCAAAACAGGTATGGGACAATTTGGCAAAGGCATTTGAAGACAGTGGTTTAACTCGAAAAGTTGGTTTATTAAAAGAACTTATTAATACCAATTTGGAAAGCAGTTCATCTGTTGAAGACTATGTAAACAAAATCATGACAGCCGCGCACAAATTACGAAATATAAAGTTTAATGTAGACGATGAGTGGTTGGGCACTTTAATGTTGGCAGGATTGCCAGAAATATACAGGCCTATGATGATGGGTTTAGAAAGTTCCGGTATGAAGATTAGTGCCGATTTAGTAAAAAATAAATTGCTACAGGAAGTAAAGACTTCAGACACTACCGCACTTTATACAAACACAAAAAGGAAGCAAGAGCTCAAACCCGATAAGAAAGGCCCAAGATGCTTTAACTGTAATAAATACGGACATCTCAGCAAGTATTGTTGGAACAAGAAGAAAAGTTATGATAAAAACACAGACAGTAAAAAGGATAAAAATACAGGATATGTCGCTGCTTTTTCAGCATCCACAGCAAATGACTCCGACTTCTGGCATGTTGACTCAGGGGCGTCCATGCACATGACCATGCACCGGGACTGGCTTACTGATATCACTCCTTCATCTGTACCGTACATAAGAATTGCTAACAACAAAGTATTAAAGGTTGAATGCTGCGGTAATGTATGTATCAATGTATATGCAATAGATGGCAGCACCGATTCAATACAGGTGAGGAATGTTTTATATGTACCAGAATTGAAAACAAATTTGTTGTCAGTCAGTAAAATAATTAAAGGTGGAAATAAAGTCACGTTCAATGATTATGGCTGTCAAATTTATAATTCGCGCAATAAGTTAGTTGCAAAAGCTGAATTAATTAACGAGACATATCTGTTAAATACTTGTAAAAATCAAGAAATGCAAGTCATGATGGCTAAGGCTGATGATGATATTTATCTGTGGCATCAAAGGATGGGTCACTTAAATTTTACTTCGCTTACAAAATTATCAAAATGTACAGAGGGTGTAGAGCTGTCATCAAGACCAGAAAATTCCACCTGTGTAACCTGTCTTGAAGGCAAGCAAACCAGAAAACCATTCCCCAATGAAGGCTCACGTGCAACCAGTTTGCTAGAGATTATCCACAGCGATGTATGTGGACCGATGAAACACACTTCTATAGGAGGAGCAAGATATTTCGTAACTTTTACTGACGATTTTTCCCGACGTGTACAAGTATATTTTATAGAAAACAAAAGTGAAGTATTTGAAAAATTTGTGCAATTTAAGAACAGGGTAGAAAATGAATTGGGTACAAAAATAAAAATATTGAGAAGCGACAATGGAACCGAGTATAAAAATAATAATTTTGAAGCCTACTTGAAGAAACATGGAATTCTGCACCAAACATCTAATCCATACACACCTGAGCAGAATGGTCTCAGTGAAAGAATGAACAGAACTTTAATAGAGCGTGCTAAGTGCATGATTATAAATTCAGAGTTGCAGGTCACATTCTGGGCAGAAGCGATAGCTACAGCAGCATATATTGTGAACCGATCTCCCACCTGCACTCTATCTAATATTACACCTCATGAAGTCTGGACTGGAAAGAAGCCGAATCTGAAACACATGAGAATATTTGGATGTTCTGCAATGGTGCTCATTCCTAAAGAAAACAGAACTAAGCTGGATGTTAAGTCACGTAAGCTAATATTTGTTGGCTACAGCGACAGCACAAAAGGCTACCGATTCATAGATCCTGTAACAAAAAAAGGAGTTATAAGTAGGGATGTAGTATTTCTAGAAGCTTCAATTAAAAGAAATAAAGTAGATAATATACCTGAAAAAGAAACGGAAATTATTGAAAATAGCATAGAGATAGAGGAAAATAAAAATACTAAAGAAAATTGTTACAAAGAAAAAGAAAAGAAGATGATATACTTACCTCTGTGTGATGAACCTGTGAAAAAAAATATTGATAATGAAATTCATAATAGAGTAACACAGGATGTACATCAAAATCCTGCTTCAGATGAGTCTGATCAATTTGAAGATGTAAACGATGAGACGTACGTACCTGATATAACTATTGACTCTCCACAAATATCTAACATAACTTTGAGACCACGACAAAGGAAAGACCAAATCAATGATGTTGATCAAAGTCCCTCATCGCTATTATGTCAGAATATTGAGTCAACCATTAATTTATTAAGCAACGATCCACAAAGTCTTGAGGAGGCTCTCAGCAGTGAAAAAGCAGAAGAGTGGAAGAAAGCCATGGACGAAGAATATCAGTCATTGATAAAAAATAATACGTGGACACTGGTTGATTTACCAAAAAGAAATTCAGTTATTCCTAGTAGATGGGTTTATAAAACCAAGTTGGACGGCACTGGATCTATTACACGCTATAAAGCGAGACTGGTGATCAAAGGATATAAACAAGTCAAAGGCATAGACTACAATGAGGTATACGCTCCTGTGGTCCGTTATACATCCATAAGATACCTGATTGGTCTTGCTGCCAAATATGGACTTAAAATACAGCAAATGGACGCAGTCACGGCATTTTTACAGGGTGAAATTGATGAAGAAATTTACATGTCCTTACCACCTGGCTATGGAGAGGAAAATAAAGCATGTAGATTGAACAAGTCAATATATGGACTTAAACAGGCCAGCAGACAATGGAACAAAAAATTAAATATTGCCTTGTTAGAAATTGGAATGGCTCGTTCAAACATAGATCCATGTGTCTATTACCGCATTTTGAATGAAAATGATATGTTTTTTATAGCTGCGTATGTTGATGATTTGCTTTGTTTTTTTAATAATGAGAAAACCTCACAAATGATAAAAGAAAAAATTAAGGAAAAATTCTTTATGAAGGATTTAGGAACAGCCAAACATTGCATTGGTCTTAGCATTACACAAGATGAAGATGAGATTTCTATTGATCAATCTATTTACATAAAAATGATACTCACACGATTTGAAATGAACAATTGTAAGCCGATGTGGACACCTGCGGATGCTAATGTTAAACTGAAGAAGGCTGAAAGTGAACAAGAAATTTTAAAGAACATACCATTTCAAGAAATAGTTGGCTGCTTACTGTACTTATCACAGGGTACTCGACCAGACATTACCTATATGGTGAATTCTTTAAGTAGATACAATAGTCAACATACTAATCAACACTGGGTGGCTTTGAAACGTGTCATGAGGTATCTGCAAGCTACAATGAACATGAAACTGGTTTATAAGAAAAACACTGATGGAAGAATTTCGGGCTATTGTGATTCAGACTGGGCCAGTGATACTGTAGATAGGAGGTCTTGTACAGGCTACATATTTTTATTCCAGGGTGCCGCAATAAGCTGGAATTCTAAGAAACAGCAGACCATAGCCCTCTCTACAAGTGAGGCTGAATATATGGCTCTAGCGTCGGCCATTCAGGAAGCTCTTTGGCTGAAACAACTGGCAGACGAATTTCAACCTGTATTTAAAGATACACCTATCACTCTTTACTGCGATAATCAAAGTGCGATTAGTCTTTCAGGAAATGCTGTTTACCATGCGCGCAGTAAACATATAGATGTGCGCTACCACTTTGTACGAGAGAAGATTGCTGCCAAACAGATCATGGTTCAATATAAATGCACTGGAGACATGATCGCTGACATTTTGACAAAAGGGCTCCATCGACCTAAACATGAAATCTTCACCTCGTCTATGGGCTTAATTTCAAAGTGTATTCGTTCAGGAGAGGATGTTGAGAAGTATGAACGCCTACGCTAATCTCTATGATGGTGTTACTCTTTTTGCTCATCTTTTTTGTGCACTGTCATCCGTTGTGTAAATTAATTATATAAAATATATAGTCTTATTCTTTAAATTGTCCTTGCTTTCATTTCATCAACATCACACAAAACATTTGATGTTAAAACATTCGAGTGATTCGAGCGAGCCGGCCGCGCGGCCGCCGTGTGATCGAGGAGCGGGCGCCGCGCGATCGGCGCGCAGTTAGTTACTCACAAAGAATTTCAACGTTAAGTCCTAGTTAATAAAGCATAAATTTGCTATGACTGAACAGTTATTACGCGGCCACAGCGGCGGCCGCAAGAAATTTTTCGCGTCGTCTATCTGCAGCCTTACTCTGTGAATTCCCATGCCTTGAGAACGAAAAGTTCTAGAAATCAAAAACTCTAATCATAATTGATTTTTCTACTGATTATATAGCTACAAAAACTGATTTTCTTAATTAAATTCCAATTTGATTATATAGCTACAAAAACTGTTTTTCTTAATTTTGGAATATAATTGATGGTGTAATTTTTATAATTCATCTGTTAATCATGAGAGATGGTTGGAAGTTATGAATAATTACTTAACAGCAAATAAACTCATATTGTTTGATCAATGTTAACATTAAGATACTTTATATGTGTAATACCTTTGCATAAATATATGTTAGGTAAGCCACTTCAGTAGCCATATACATTCCATACAGGAATTGTGATACTTGTAGCCACTCTAAGCTACTTGTCCATAGTAGCACAGCATATACTGATATTCCACTAATACCTGAAATACAGCAAAGTTTATAAAAAGATCAGTGAGAAAATTAATAAATGAATTGGGATAAAAAAACATTATTAAGTTAGTGCAGGTATCAATTTGGCAGTAGTTATGAAGCTAGCTAAAATTGGGACAATATTTTAAGACACCTTACAAAATTACTATACTTATTTCTTATATTTTAACTCACATATTTTTTGAATTTTTACATTATTCTTAATGTTGGGGATCCTTTACAGGCTCCATGGATTCAAGAATAAGGTCTTGTGTTTACATAGCCTTAAAGGACGCAAAACATCAAAAAATATATAAAATCCAAATAAATTACATTTTATATTATCTCAAAAAAATGTTTAAAACTTATTATGATTAATATTAAAAATGTTTTTATTGTTGTTATTCAAATTGTGTTAAGTAGTTACAAAATGACATAACTGAATCTAGATTTTATAGATAAAGTAATTGATTAAAACCTTGAACTTCAATAATGGTCAATTGTCTTTAACAGGCAAGGTCAACCAGTCATTATGGTCAATAATAATTGAAGGAAAGTTAAAATAAATATTATCAATACAAAAGATAAGCTCAATTATTGATTAACTTACCCGATAATATAATGACAGGTTTAAATCTTAAAAAATCCGTAATTAGAAAAACAAGAACGAGCTGCGACAAATAAGAGTATGTGCCAACGGGATAAATGTCACGATTTAATTGATCTTCTGTAATATTTCTCCATTCTCCAAGAAGAAACTCCGTAACGAAAGGCTCGGAAGGTCGGATCTCCCGCAATGTGCCAAAAAGGCATAATATTAACGTTACTCTAAGCCAAGCTTGCATTATGAAATCAGGACAAGTTAACACTAAAACTTTTAAGACCAATGTGGATAGTGGATGCACACTATCACTTTTTAGAAATAAATAGTTCAGTCTATTCCAAAAGTAAATTGCAGCACAGCTAAAGGGTTCTCTTGAGTTTTGGACACTGTTCACTCACTAAGTAATATTTTTTCAATAATCCCCGTTTATCATTAGCGCGAAAACTTACATAAGTTTTGTTGTTTGTATAGTAGAATATAACCCCAAAAGCAACTCTAGATCTAATATACCGAAAGAATTTAACCAAACAAGCTGAGCCAAACAGTCGTCTCATTTATAATTGTATATTTTAACAGTCCTCCGTCGTTATTACTGTTTTTCCACTTTCTAGTGAATACAATACAAATTACAATTTCTTCTTTATAAATTGCAATTCTCAGACATCTTCTTTTTTTGTTGAACTTCTCCCGTTTTAGGGAAGGCAAAGGGAACAATGCCCATACAGCCTGGTCTTTAATTAAATTAATCTTCTTTTTGTTTTTACATTAGAATGTCGGTGTGACGCATTCTAATGTTTCTTGGAGTGTTTGGCACGAAATGTATCGAGTTGGCTTTTTCGATAAGCTTCATCAGCTTTAGAGAATCATGCTGGAATCGACACCATTATCAACTATTAACGAATTTAAGAATAATTAAAATAAGACGCCAACCGCACTCGATGACATCCCGCCAAAAACTTCGCTCCTCAAAGACATCTTCTTTTTGTTTAGTTTGGATGTGGTAAAAAAGTTGCGAATCTCCAACTCCCAACCACAGAGTATCTTGTTCAACTTCAACTCTTTGCTTCAACTACTTTTTTTTTAGATTTTGCGGCCATGAATTTCTCCATTTCGGACCTTCAACTACTGTATGCTTTCCAATTACAGAGCATAATGCGACTCAGTGCCGCACAATGCCCAATTATGCTGATGCTTAATTGGAACGTGAATTAGTTTTCAAATGCACCAGCAGAGTGCGCTAAGTTCAGTGTGGAAAAAAAAAGTCAATGTTTGTACCTTCATCCATACTTATATTTATTTTTTAACAGTTTGAATGAACTTTGATTATTTAAAAAAAACTATTTAATGAAACGAAAGCTTTAATAATTTTTCAACAATAAATAATATTACTAACGATAACATATAAATAAAACATTTCGATCAATGCCAACTTAAAGAAAAAACACTTGTTAATTTTCTGTCTCTAAGTTGGTACCATTGCACGCATCACACGAAAGCATCACTTTTGAGAGTGCTCAATTGTGCGAAGCGTTGCTGTAGTTGGAACACTCAACGTTAAGCATTATGCCGCATAATGCGCTATAATGCTGTAATTGGAAAGCAACCACTGAGTAGAGTAGAGGTTTGCACCGAACCGGAACAGCTCTAGGGAAGATGCATATATAATATTTATGAAAATTTTATGATTAAAATGTTAAAAAAATATAAAAGGAATGCCACTGCAACGTTTTTATTTTACATAATGTTGTTTTTTAACAATTATTACGAATTAAAAATACTTGAAACGGAACGTATTTTAAAACACCAATCAGCGTTTAGTGACGTCACTCCTGTTATGACAACTTCTTTGAGGTTATGGTTGCTATAGTAAATATTATTTTATGGGAACATTTATTGCTTTTTTTACATTTAATAAAAATGGAAGTTGCGTTTATCAAAGCAGACTCCAGGAATTTACCAAGAGTTAGCGTTGCCATGGTTATAACTTTTTTTGTCCAAAGTGCAGAGTTTTTAAGTGTAGAAATGAAAGGGACTAAATTACTACGGTATGTAAAAATCGTAGTTGTTAAACTTCGTATTTTATTCAGCGGCTTCTACAAATCTTACGGCGATAATGCAATCGGCTATATCCAAATTAAAAGAGATGAAAAATTATGTACAGTAAAAGGTCGAGTTCACTGGAGCATAAAGTACGTAAAGAAGGTTATCTTGTTACAGTTATTTTAAATGAAACGCAAAGCTTGGTTCAGTCCTGCCAATGTGAAGATTGTGCCACACATTTTAAACTTTATCTAATTTTCGACGTCATTCTTCAACTGTAAAATTAAAAATATGTTATAGACAGGTTTTGTAAGTATTAGGTAGGTTACTAATGCGTTTTTACGTACAAGCAGATTAATTAAGCATATAGGTAACAAGTATATTCGCCGACTTACGTCAAAGTGATCTTCTCAGCATCGAAAAATGGTCTTTGGAGAATAATTGTCATTTCTCTTCGCAGCTTGAAACCACTTTTTTTTCGGTTTTGGGTCAGAAGTTCCAGTCAAAAACAATTTATTTGGGAACTTTGTTGAAGTAGATTGGCACAAAACATGAGTCAACACGGCTTTTTTTCGGAATATTAGTGGTATTGTTATGATCACATGATGTTGATGGATAGTCCATTTTAAATTTTTCAATAAAATATTTTCAATAAGTCGAAAAATTTGCAAAAGTATGAAAATTTAAAGCCAGCAACTAACAATTACGACCAGTGACAGACAGGAGTGACGTCATCGCAACCATAGGTTCGCGCGAAAATTTAAATTGTCAATTTAAAACCGCATTTTTTTCCGATAAATCACAATGTTTTAATTTTTTAATATATCTGTGGTTTATAATACATGGAATTCTTTAAACTGAAAACAAAAATAAAAATATTGCATCTTCCTTCTTAGAATTTTTGAGCATTTGAAGATATATAACACGATATGTATGAAGAAATCATTTTATGCAAAAAACCTGCATAAACATTAATATAGTCAATTGAAATAAGAAAAAAGATGTATTGATATCGGAATTCTGTACTGGTGATGCAGAAAAAAATCAAAAAATGGACTTAAAATCGATCATTCATTTAAATTTAAGTTGGAGCATGGTTTGATTGTCAAAAAAATAAAAAATAAATCTTCTCTTCTTCTTTTATTATGGCATAATGGCTAATGTTGCCATTTGCCATATGCAAACTTCGTTTGATGTGATTGGGTAGTAAATCGATCAAATGATTGAAATACTAATAAATTTTAGTAAATATTTGTTTCTTAGGTTTTCACGCACATCACTCATTAAATAAAACTAGTTTTTACGGGTTAATGCACGAAAACTTTATTTATTTATTGAGTCTGAACCTGATTCTGAACTAGCGTGCACTGTGGCTGTACCCTTAGAAATCCGACATAAGTTTTTTTTGTTCTGTGGCTGTTTCCGTTTCACACAGAAATTTCGCCGACATTGTTAGATCAGCCAAAATCAGCTGATAAACTTGTCATGTGTCACTGTCAGGCCGTAATGTGATGATAACAAATTGATTCTGATGTTTAATTGATTGTAATCAATTTTATAGTAAAAATACATTAACTCACATTAGTTTGGCGAATCCGTGTCAGTTCAGTGTGTTTGTTCATTTATTATTTATTGCCAGCCATACCAAATAGTTAATAATCTATTTTATATTCTTTTCCTGATTGCCTATATAACTACTATAAATCCATAGCACTTTTGTATAAAAATTATCATTCTGTGAGACAGTGACTACTTTTAGTATGTCTGTGTATAGTGTTCAGGTTTATATTTGTCTCTGAATAAGCTCGAAATTAAAAATGAGAAAAAGGTGTAAGTCAATTTTAACACAGCAATTGGATATACGGAATGAGTTGAATTGTCAGCATTGCGGTAAGGAGTTTAAGTATGAGAGCGAAAGAAAGAGACATGAGCAGAGTCATTCTCCACAATTCACATGTAAAATTTGTCTAAAGAAGTTCAGTTTCATGTGAGTGCTTAGAAGCAAATTTTAAGATATTTATAAATTTTTGTAAAAATATCTTTATAGTATTGCCTTATCTATTATATTGTAGGTCAGCCTTGCGACGACATGAGAAACAGCATGAAAGAACAGGAAGTGTTTCTTGTGGACAATGCAATCGAAAATTCCGAGATGAATCATTATTGAAAAGGCACATGAAGTATGCGCATAAGGGTTAGTGTAAAAATTATACTGATTAATATAATTTCAGTTATCCTTTAAGTAGTAACAAATTTTACTACTTAATTTTTTCAGTAACTATTTTGAAACATTTAATTATATCCGCAAACATTGTAAGTTAACAGAACCAAATTTGAGGAATTTGTATGAATAAATATTATAATTACCACTTCTATAGCTGTTATACTTCGATGATGGCACTTATAATTCTGTTATTATATTTTTTATGATAATATAATAGGGGACAAATAAGCAAAGAGCTGATGTTGAAAATCTGTAATAGAAATCTCTGGATACATAGTAGCTGGTGCATGTAGTGTTCCCTTTTTGCTTCAGTCTGGACATCATGAGAGGCTTGGATCTATTTATTTTATTGTTTTGTGATTTTAGGTACATTTAGTTGCATCAAATGCAGTGCAGTCTTTAACAGTGACTTAGCTCTACATTCCCATATGAAAATACATAAGCCAGAGTCTGAGAGGAGGTATCGCTGTAGTTTTACTGGTTGCAAAAAGTCATTTAACTTTGCACATCATTTAAAACATCATGAATTGACCCATACAAACACCAAACAATATTTCTGTTCGGTATGTGGGAAAGGTGTGTATAATTTGTTTACTTTTTTATCTTACAAAAAAGAATAATTAAGAATTCATGCTAATATTATAAATGTGAAAGTGTATCTGTCCTCTTCACACTTAAAAAAGGCCTAAACTGATTTAGATGAAATTTGCTATAAAGATACTTTGAGACCTAGAATAAAGATAGTTTTTATCAGAACAATCATCATTAAAGGGGGTGAAATAGTGGTGAAAAGGTGGGTAGAATTTTGTATGGGTTTTTTTTTTCATTCAGAGGAAATCGCAGGCACCTACTATGTAGTTATAAATACATATTATTATACCTATATGTAATGTCTAAGGCTGAAATCCTGAGGGAGATTGAGAGTTTCTATGGACAGCTATATTCCACGCAAGCACCTGTTGAAAGTAAGGCTAGAGACTCCAGAGCCAAGCTTACTTACACTACACTGAAGATATCCCGGACGTCAGCCTGTATGAGATTAGTATGGCTCTCAAACAACTTAAAAACAGCAAGGCGACGGGCGATGATGGAATCACAGAAGAACTTCTGAGAGCGGGCGGTAAGCTGATACTTAAAGTCCTCCAGAGGCTTTTCAATTCCATCATCCTCGAAGGCTGAACGCCAAAAGCATGGGCCAGAAGTGGGGTTGTCCTGTTCTTCAAGAAAGGTGACAAAGCACTCTTGAAAAACTATCGACCAATCTCGCTTCTTAGCCATGTTTATAAGTTGTTTTCGAGAGTCATTACGAATCGTCTCGCACGCAGGTTTGACGACTTCCAACCTCCCGAACAAGCCGGTTTTCGAAAAGGCTTCAGTACCATAGACCACATTCATACGCTGCGGCAGGTTATACAGAAGACCGAAGAGTGTAATCTGCCATTTTGCTTGGTGTTAGTGGACTATGAGAAAGCTTTCGATTCGATTGAGATCTGGGCGGTGTTACAGTCTCTCCAAAGGTGCCAAGTAGGCTACAGGTATGTCGAGGTATTAAGGTACCTTTATGAAAACGCCACTATGTCAGTCCGATTACAGGACCAGAATCTAATCCTATCCAATTGAAGCGAGGCGTGAGATAGTGAGATGTGATATCTCCGAAACTGTTCACAGCTGCATTGGAAGATATTTTCAAGCTTCTGGATTGGAAAGGACGAGGCATTAACATTAAGCGAGTACCTTTCGTACCTTCGTTTCGCCGATGATGTAGTTCTTATGGCTGAGACCTTGGAAGATCTTAACACGATGCTCGAAGATTGTAATAGTGCTTCCCAAAAAGTGGGTTTTAAGATGAACATGGAGAAGACGAAAATTATGTCGAATGCCCATGTAGTACCCGCTGCAGTTAAAATTGGGAACACTACACTCGAAATTGTCGACTGTTACGTCTACCTAGGACAGACAGTCCAGTTAGGTAGGTCCAACTTTGAGAAAGAGATCTCTCGTCGTATCCAGCTCGGATGGGGAGCGTTCGGGAAGCTACGAAAAATTTTCGCGTCCAAATTACCTCAGTGTTTCAAGAGAAAAGTCTTTGACCAGTGTGTGTTGTCAGTGATGACCTACGGAAGCGAGACGCGGTCCTTTACTGCGGGTTTCATAAGCAGGCTCAAGGTCACACAGCGAGCAATGGAGAGAGCGATGCTCGGTGTTTCCCTACGCGATAGAATCAGAAATGAGAACCAAAGTTACCGATATCGCTCGAACGATTGCTCTGCTGAAGTGGCAGTGGGCGGGACACGTAGCAAGAAGAACCGATGGCCGGTAGGTTAGGGCGGAAAGGTTCCGGAATGGCGACCACGCACCGGACGACGCGACGCTCAGTGGGCAGGCCCCTACAAGGTGGACCGACGATCTTGTGAAGGTTGCGGGAAGCCGATGGATGCGAGTGACGCAGGATCGATCGGTGTGGAGATCATTGGAGGAGGCTTATGCTCAGCAGTGGGCGTCATACGGCTGACATGATGATGATGATGTAATGTTTACATACATGTTAAAGGAGCTGGGTTGAGGAGGCTGTTTATGCCTAGCATTGTGCCTTAGAGCTCCTTCTTACTTACTACCTAATACATAGAAATAAATGCTTTTTAAAACTTTATTTAACAAAATTTTTGTTTGGCAGGTTTTATTCAATACCATCACCTAAAGAGTCACGAAAAGATTCATAAACCGGAAGGTTGGCTCACATGCTCATTTCCAGGTTGTAAGAAATTTTTTGCAACTGAACACACTTTGAGAAAGCATATTGATGATACCCACAGTAAGTAACGTATACAATATATCTCGATTGGCAAAATAGAACTTAATTTTAGAAATTTAAAGGTAAAACTTTGTTTGTCAATGAACTTTTGGTAAGGTTCTTCTTAGTGGTCAAAGGGTATAAAGGGTATCTGGTACACAAATAGATTTATAACTTAATTTTACTATAACTTATAATGCACACTTTATGTCAGTAAAAGGATTCTCTGGGTTATTTAAAATCCAAAACTTGAGGGCTTGAGCATGACATTTTTTTTCATTCAAAATCTATAGGATTCTAGGAAAATTAATCTTGAGAGAAATTCGCTTTGTTGCATGTCACAGGTGTCATATAGATTTTTATTTATGGCATTTCATTAGTCGGCAAATTTTTTACATGGGCTTTGATTCATTGCTGGTTTTGTTTCAGAAAATAACAATGCTTCTTCAGAACATAGTGATCTTAGTACCATTTCTATTAATGAAACTACTCAAAATGGTATGATTAAAGTTATTAAAATGTTTTTTTAACATTAGATTACCTATTTAAGACTACAAGAATATATTGCTTTTTTTACAGATTACGATGAATTTGCAGATATTGATTCCAAACCTCTGACCGATTCTGATTTTATAGTATTAGGTAAGTAAAGTTACTTACTATGCTTAGATTAAAACAAAAGGGGAAGATACGGTACTCGCGACTTAAAGTAATCCGCTTAAATTGTGGTGCATGACCATAATTCGCTTTAGTTAGAATTGGTTGGACAACCAGACATGCTGCATGTACACTCAATAAAACAATATTGCGTATATTTTGTGTTATAAAGATAAAACAATACTTTCGATGCTTTTAAAAAATTCAAATAGTTCAAGATCAAATAACGAATGCCACGGCAACACTTTATTCGTAAAACTAAAAAAAAACATTTTTTTCTCGAAAATCATGGTTTGCCCTGTGGGTTTACCATGAACGTTAGTTACTGATTCGCCATTTGTTATCAAGAAAACGACAACTATACAACTCAGCCATCTATAGAGAGAGAAAAGAAAACGCAGTCGGCTGCAGAGCGACGCGGACTCGCGACGTTTCGCTTGCGCTGCGTTGAAGCGTACAATTCTGTCTCGCTCGCTCGATTGAATATTTATTTACAGAAGTGTGCGTCGGTGAGAGTTGCTTATGTAGTTGAGTCGGATCATATTTATTTTGATGCTAGTATGAGCGTACCGTATCTTCCCTTTTTGTTTTAAACTAAGACCTATTCTAGACGGCTGTAATCCAGTGTACCAACCAAGGTGACCTTGCCCGTTGCCATCCATCTAGACGAAGGATGTAATCGTTCTTAACTATTTTTCACATAATTGTATCATATTGTATATTGTATTTATTTGTATATCACAGATTTATTGTGTAAATATGCCACGTGAATGGTGCTCTTGAATAATTTGGCAGTATGTCCTCTCAGGATGTTGTGGCACAGGTTCACTAGCACTTGGTAATAAGGTCTCTGCTCTTTGGTAACATCGATGGCATATTAGATAGCCGAAATAGTTAAATTAAAGGAAAAACAATCGCAAGTAAACACACACAGTTACACAACAATTAATCCGAAACGAGAATGCACTTTCCGGCATAATAAACTATTCTTTGGAATGCACGAACGCCACAGATTACTACGAATGCAAACTGCCTGCACCGCAACCACAGAGTATCGAGTTTTATGCCGGCCCTTCACTTGACAACAGTTTGTCCTTGTCTTGCCTAATAAGGAATGTAAAGGACAGACTGATGTCATGTTTTAAAATAGCAAATACGAATAGCCAAGTGAAGTGCCGGCATTAGGAAAATGAGTGTTTTGTTTGCAGCGCTGCCATAGATTATACACATATAATGGTATTTATTGTCTCAGATTATTTTTTAACTTTTTAATTTAGCTTACTTAACTGGAAGTGTCCGTCACAATCTAAATACTGATATTTATCGCAAAAAATATACTAAAAATTATCATAAATGCCAAATTGGTATTGGTTCTTAGGCCAATTTTAACATTGTCCTTTGGAGCCAGTTCTACAACACGGTTACTAATAAGGTCCGCGCATGACACAAGTGCATACGTGTTTTCACGCCAGAAGACGACGCGCGATCGCGTGGTGGCGCGTGGATTACATCCGTGTAGCCGCAAATCATAACGCGAATGGAAACCAACATTCCACCAAGGTCATCTTGGTTGGTACGCTGGATTACATCCGTCTAGAATAGGCTTAAGTTACTATGCGTTTGTTTCGAGTTGGCCGCTCCCACTCTCCCCTCCCTGCCTCACCGCACCACGCTCCTAGACAGAAACTTTTGGTGGATGATACCAGTTGATGTGCCTGTCATTGGCCTGTGACCAATGACCCAATGACGTATAATATATAGACAGGTTATACGCCAACATTATTGCATTTTAAAATGGCATAAGTAATCCCCGCTCCGCTCCAACTTCTCTTGGCAGCAGCCGCAAATAGAGTGCACTAAAATAGTATATAAATTAGATTACATATCGCTCTTTAGTCTCTATGTGTCAACAGGATGCGCACCGGCTCTCGTGGCCGCTTCGCAGTGCTGTACGTCGCTTTGTATTGCTTGATGTTTGCCATGAAAATTTTAAAATTATGATATAGGAATTAAGGTTTATCTTAAATTGTTAACTACCCAGCATATACGCCGCACCTCTCGCGGTGTGCGAGAAATACAACACTACCAAAAGGTAATGTTATTTCATTGTGGTTTCCTTTAAGGTAAAGTTTAGTTAAGTGGACGTCCTAATTCGATCCGAAATTCCTCTGTATCCTATCTCTTTTAAAATTATTTGATTAGCATAACTTATTTGCGGCATCGATATAGTGTGTGGCAAATCAAACCTACTTGTTGTCATTTTTTATACCTACGATTTATCTATGTTTTTGCTGTCACTCAAAAACTAAAATTCTGGTTGTACTTAATGTGCTACAATATATTTAATTAACGTTATTCCTGTTTAACAATATTTGGTCCTTCTCCGCGCTTTACAACGAACCAGTATATTTTTCCCGGAATTTATTTCGTTTTTTCGGTAAAATATTTTCGCTTACATGCCCATCACAAGAAGCCACGCAAAAAAGGTTTCGATGGCAGAAACACGAACACTATCCGATTCAGGGGTACAGCACCCCACGATGACAATGGAGGAGGGTCAGGATAACATCAGTGAACGTAGTAGTAGCACCGCAACAACGCGATCGAGTGCAACCATACAAGCACGCAAGCTGGCCGCGGAAGCACAATTACGCCGCCGCCAACTAGAACGAGAGCGACAACTGGCCGCTATGGAACAGGAAACCGAGGAAGTGGAACTTCGTGCAGAACTCGCCGCGATCGAGGCCGAGTCGGGTAGCTCACGGGCCTCACAAAGGAGTCGCGTTTCTTCTCGAAGGTTGAAGGACTGGGTAAACGAAATGACCGAACAGGAACAGGTACCGATTGTTTATACTTATGGAAATAAAGTAGCAACGAGGCTCGATAACTCCTATGACGAGCTTCCCAGCCAGTCACGACCGACTGACACACAGGGCGTTGTTAATATTTCTAACCCGGTTGCGAACTTGCCCGAACCTCTGCACCATAATACGAGTGACAAACTCACTATTGTAAAGGACACTTCGTCAGCGCGTCACGTAAATCCTGATGATAAAGACGTATATTAAGCTAGCAGACCATGGTTGCAACGCGCACATCTAACCTACTGGGTATTTAGTTGCTAATTAGTTACACTATTCCCGATTTAGTTGCTCAACACCTGTAAAAGATACATGCGATCTGCTAGCTTAAGTCTTAACCTAGCAGACCACAATACTGTATCGTCGGTTCTCGTAAAGATATCGAAGTTCTGCAAACGGCATATTTAGTTGCTAATTAGTTGCTGTAGGACAGCATTATTTGTTTTATCCCCCCATCATCCCTTAATTGCCGTACCAGCACCCACACTACCCCCGAAATACGAAAAATTCAAAAAGGGCTCATCAGAGAATATAAACTACGGCGTATTTCGTTGCTAATTAGTTGCTGCAAAATAGCGTTGCTTATAGTATTTAACTATCAACCCTTAACTTCAAATCAGCACTGCAACCACCCCCGAATAGGACGATATCGGAAAATTCTCGTAGGTGGAAAAAGACGCGGCATATTTAGTTGCTAATTAGTTGTTTGCCAAAAACGCAGTTAAGAGTATTCTACAATCATCCCCTAACCTCAGATGCAACCCCTCTACTCACTTAGAAACAGTAGATGGTTAAAATTCGCACGCAGTTGTTTAAGACTGCTGGATGTTTTGTTGTTAATTAGTTGCTGAAAAATAGCGTTGCTTATAATATTTGATTATCAACCCTTAACTCCAGATCATCCCTGCAACCACCCCAGAATAGAACCATATCGGAAAATTCTCGTAGGTAGAAAATAGACGCGGCATATTTAGTTGCTAATTAGTTGCTCGCCAAAAACGCAGTTAAGAGTATTCTACAATCATCCCCTAACCTCAGATGCAACCCCTCTACTCACTTAGAAACAGTAGATGGTTAAAATTCGCACGCAGATGTTTAAGACTGCTGGATGTTTTGTTGTCAATTGGTTGCTGAAAAATAGCGTTGCTTATAATATTTGATTATCAACCCTTAACTCCAGATCATCCCTGCAACCACCCCAGAATAGAACGATATCGGAAAATTCTCGTAGGTGGAAAATAGACGCGGCATATTTGGTTGCTAATTAGTTGCTCGACAAAAACGCAGTTAAGAGTATTCTACAATCATCCCCTAACCTTAGATCCAACCCCTCTACTCACTTAGAAACAGTAGATGGTTGGAATTCGCACGCAGATGTTTAAAACTGCTGGATATTTTGTTGCTAATTAGTTGCAGAAAAATAGCGTTGCTTATAATATTTGATTATCAACCCTTAACTCCAAATCATCCCAGCTGCCACCCTTATGGGTACAAAAAATGCGGGATATTTTTCTACAATTCGCACGCAGTTGTTTAAGACTGCTGGAAGTTTTGTTGTTAAACCTTCACCTCAGATCGACCATCATTTTCTCTTTACAATAAAAAATCGGCCAGAATACGCTCGTAGATGTATATTACTGCAGAATATCGTATTGCTAATTAGCAACTCAATATCCCGCCGCTTTTTTCCACCTACGAGAATTTTCCGATATCGTCCTATTCTGGGGTGGTTGCAGTGCTGATTTGGAGTTAAGGGTTGATAGTTAAATACTATAAGCAACGCTATTTTGCAGCAACTAATTAGCAACAAAATATCCAGCAGTTTTAAACATCTGCGTTTGAATTAGAACCATCTACTATTTTTAAGTGAGTAGAGGGGATGGATCTGAGGTTAGGGGATGATTGTAGAATACTCTTATCTGCGTTTTTGGCGAGCAACTAATTAGCAACAGAACATCCAGCAGTTTTAAACATCCGCGTGCGAATTCCAACCATCTACTGTTTCTAAGTGAGTAGAGGGGTTGCATCTGAGGTTAGGGGATGTTTGTAGAACACTCTTATCTGCGTTTTTGACGAGCAACTAATTAGCAACTAAATATGCCGCGTCTATTTTCCACCTACGAG